AATTTTAGTTAATAATAATTAATTCTATATAATGATTTTTGAATTAATTGTGTATGACCGACGGTCAAGATTGAAGATTAAAAACCGGATTAAGATTTGAATGACCACGATTAAATATAGGGATTGTTGAGATCTTTTAAGGAAATCGAATTGAATATGGACGTAATTGTGGCAAAAATTAGTTATGCTTAATATATTAGGTAAGATTTTTGAAAATGATTTTTTATGTTAATATCTTTGATATAATTTTGAAAATATAAATAATTAATGTCAATGACATTTGATCGTATAAATGTCTCTAAAAATGTATATATAGATTTTTTTTTTTCATTGTTATTCTGGAGATCATTATTTAGAACCTTCTAAAAAATAGGAATATGAAGATCTTTAGAATATTCTCAAATATTACCTTTCCAATAAATATTACCAAAAAAACCACCAAATCTCTAAATTTATGATAATCTCAAAGATTATATTTCCAAAAAAACATTCATAGAGATCCACTAAAACCCTAGATCATCAGCAATATCAATTTTTCTTGATAAACTTTTGTATACATAGGAATTGGAGAAGTTAGGGAGCAAGAGATGTGAGTGCCTTTATTTAAGATATGAATTCTTTAAAAATACAATAAAAATTGATATTTTATTGTTATGTTTTGCAGCAAAATGCCAAATTAACCCCAATTTGAGTAGGCGACTCACACATATCTCCCGCTCCGGCCAATCGACTCGTCGTCATCTCCGCCATTATCAGTATTCCTTGGAAGCTTTTCCCTGGTAAATCTTTGTACCCTTCTTCTTCTGTATTTCTTTTTGTTGTTGCTTGGAGACTCGAAATTGGTCTTACCTATCGCTTCCATCTCTCGATTTATTATGTGGTAATTTCGAGATTTGGGGTCTGTTTCTGTAAAATGTGGAAAAAGGGAATGAACTATATCTTATGATTCATGGATTCATGGGTTTTGATTCACTCTAAGTTTTGAGATTTCTCTGTAACTATCTGGTTTTGAAGATCTGCATGTCTTCTTTTAGTGTTTAGTTAACTTAGATCATCATAACATGTGCATTGCCAAAGGATATTATTCATTTAATTGATTGGAATATTTTTTTAATCATTATGCTTGTTGTAAGTTGTAACTGCTAGGATGGTGTTTTTAGTTCATATTCTTGTATTACATTGAGTAGGAATTGGACAACATGGTACATTCAGAGTCATCAAAACTCATTTCGTTGCGCGGTGGTAGTGGTCCTTTTTCTAAGGATGAACTGGCAACAAATGGTAGTTATACCGATCCTATGGGGCGGAGGAAGTCCAAGCGGTTTAAGGTTGCAGCGGAAAGTGAGTTTTCTCCTGATTGTGGATCGGGTTCCATGCGGCTCAGATCAAGAACTATACAGAAGGAGGTCCAAATTGAGACTTGCGAGAACAAGAATGCTTCTGAGGTTGAGGTTGAGTTGATTCCTGGAGAAAAAGTGGCAGATCGAGATGGTTTTAAATCCGTTGATTGTAATGACATGTCGGCTGGAGGAACCGAAGGAGCTAAATCTCTTCGAGTTAATATGCAAGAACCAATGGAAGGTAGGAATCTGCCAGAGAATACAAGTGAGCAAAATTTGGTGGAGGTCCATCCTCCAAGCATTAGCCTGCCAGAAGAAGATGTGGTGGGGTCTGTTTGCAGGAAAAGCATCACCGGGACAAAGGAGCTTCGCGGAAGAACGGTTTCTGTAGTGAGAGACTTATCTCCAAATATGGGGAGCAAGTTTTCAAAGAGTGGAAAGACCGCTAAAGGTTCTATATCGATGGAAGAGGATAACTTGGTTCTGGAAAAGTCAGATTCTGGAGATCATTTGGGTCAATCTCTTTCTAAAAGCATATCACCAGAGGTTTTGGAACTTGATAAATCAAAGGTTACTGTTCCAAAACCAATTGAGGCTGCTGTTAGGATAATTACAAACAAAGGGGTTGCAATGCCTCCACCCTTGAAGCCTTCCGAGAAGACGAATGGAGATTATGGTGAAGGATCTATGAGGAAGAATAGTGAGAGGGTTGCCCCGGATAAAAAGAGATTAGCTCGTAATCCTCGGTTATCAAATGGTGGGCTTCCTAGTGGCTCAAGCAGTGGGGAAAGTGCTCGGTACAAAGTTAAGGAAACTCTGCGTCTTTTCCATGAAACTTGTAAAAAAATTATGCAGGAGGAAGAAGCAAGGCCTAGGAAAAGAGATGGTAGCAAGTTCAGAGTGGATAACGAGGCTTCGAAAATTCTCAAGGGTAAAGGGAAAAATCTTAACAGTGGTACTCAGATTATTGGAACCGTGCCTGGTGTTGAGGTTGGCGATGAATTTCAATATAGAATGGAGATGAACTTTCTTGGTATACATAGACCAAGTCAAAGTGGTATCGATTATATGAAAGATGACGGCGAGGAACTAGTTGCCACGAGTATTGTATCCTCTGGAGGTTATGATGACGTGGTTGATAACTCGGATGTCTTGATCTACACGGGTCAAGGCGGAAATGTGGGGAAAAAGGGAAAGAAAAATAATGAACCCAAAGACCAACAGCTTGTAACGGGAAACCTTGCGTTGAAAAACAGTATACACAAAAAGAACCCTGTGCGGGTCATAAGAGGCATTAAAAATACGACACTACAATCATCAGCTGTTGCAAAGAATTATGTTTACGATGGATTGTATCTGGTGGAAGAGTACTGGGATGAAACTGGGTCTCACGGTAAGCTCGTCTTCAAGTTCAAACTGCGGCGTATTCCTGGACAACCCGAGCTTCCCTGGAAAGTGGTTGAGAAATCGAAGAAATCCGAGTTCCGGGACGGTCTTTGCAATGTTGATATCTCAGAAGGGAAAGAGACATTACCCATATGCGCTGTGAACAATATAGATGATGAGAAACCAGCTCCGTTTATCTACACGGTTAAAATGATATATCCGGATTGGTGCCGGCCAATTCCTCCAAAGAGCTGTGGTTGCACAAAACGCTGCTCCGAATCAAAAAAGTGTGCATGCGTTGTGAAAAACGGTGGAGAGATACCGTACAATTATGATGGAGCCATTGTTAGTATAAAGCCCCTGGTCTATGAGTGTGGCCCACACTGCCAATGCCCACCTTCTTGCTACATGAGAGTCTCACAGCACGGGATCAAGATCAAGCTGGAGATCTTCAAAACGGAGTCAAGAGGATGGGGAGTGAGATCGCTGGAATCTATTCCTATCGGAAGCTTTATCTGTGAGTACGCAGGAGAGCTTCTAGAGGATAAACAAGCAGAAAGACTTACCGGGAAAGATGAGTATCTCTTTGAACTCGGGGAGGAGGAGGATCAGTTCACCATAGACGCAGCACGGAAAGGGAACATAGGGAGGTTTATAAACCATAGCTGCTCACCGAATCTGTACGCACAGGACGTATTGTACGACCATGAGGACACAAGAATACCTCACATTATGTTCTTTGCACTGGACCATATACCTCCACTTGAGGAACTCTCATACGACTACAATTATAAGATCGATCAGGTAACCGACTCTAATGGTAATATCAAGAAGAAAATTTGCTACTGTGGTTCCGCTGAGTGTAGTGGTAGGCTCTACTAAGTAAGCTGTTGTTACCCCTTGTATTCTTCTTCATTTTCCCGCTTGATGTTTAGTTCTGTATGAATAAGCAAATTAGCTTTAGCCAAAATTACAATACACAGTGTGACATAATTGGTGTCAATTAGTGTTGTGATGTTTTAGCTGCATTACTCACTGAACCTCACCATAATCCAAGTCTTTCATAGTTATTTTTCATACACTTTGTTATGGTATTGCAACTATTGTTTGTGTGTGTGTGTGTTTTTTCCTTTCATCTACAAGATCTGTTACTTATGACACCTGAAACCACAGAATCCTCGAACTTACATGACCTCACTGTCTGTCTGAACCGAATTTCAAATTGTTCATGCTGATGTTGTCTTAGTGATTGCTAAGCACCAAAGAAGTAGCTAGCTCTTTTGTTTGTTTGTCCCAATCTCAGTCTCTGATATGGTTTGATTTGAAATTGGAAAAAGAGAGACATTATTGTTACTATTACTTAATTTATAGCAATGGGATCCCCTATGTTACAATTCATTATCCTCTATTCCAAAACTATTTATTCCATATTGTTTTTTAGCTTTTAAAGTACATAATGGTTTTGAGGATCCATAAAGATAACTCTCGAATTAGGATAAAGATAACAATTGTGTACATAGATGGGATCATGATGTTTATAGTATGGGTGGCCATGAAATCTTTGGACAACAAATGTGAAAAAAGCTATAACTTATCCCTTCATTGAGATATTCTTAGGGATTAGACTGCTTTGGCCTCATGGTAGTCTCTAATTTTCCATGACCATCTTATCGTTATATCATCCATATCTCAAGATTGTGACTAGCTGTTAAATCATTAACAAGTGTCTTTTTACTAATTTAGGCTGGACAGTGGACACCAGGGTTTTTTTTTTTTACTATTGTTAAAAACTTAAAATTAAGGGTTTTTGCAAGTACATTAAGAAAAGTAAAAATTGACCTTCTTAAATTGTCTCTTTCTGAAACTAGTCTTGCTCAATCTCAAACCACTTCTTAAAAAAATTGATGTGTGTTTGTTTTTGATGAAATGCTTTACAAAATTCCAAGCGGGTTCACTGGATTTTATATTTTGGAAGTTAGCTCCAAATTATATTATTATAACTCACTAAACTAATCATACAAACAATTATTGGTTGTTAATTAACAACCAAACCACCAAATAAATTAAATAGAGAAAAAATAAATACCCCATATAATACCATTACTTAATCACCTGAAGTTTATGCAATTAGATTGAAAGCAAATTTTTGGAATCTTAGAGAATAAACTCTCTTAATAACCAGAGAGATTTGCTTAATCATTAATTAAAAATTGTCATCAAGGATTGGGTCAACAAGTGGCAAATGGATGGCACTTTCGTAAATAAGTGAAACTCAGAGGTGTTTATTGTGTTCTCACGTGGGTCTCTTGCCTTAGTTCAAAAGTTCAAAATTGAGCTCTTTCTTCTTCTTCTTCGCGAAAACTTGAAAGCAGTTTTAGGAACAAAAACCAGAGGCTTTGATTTGAAAAAAAACCCTAATTTTCAAGAACCCTAAATTCACCACCATTTCTTCTCAAATCCTCTTTCCAAGTTCCATCCTTTTTATGTAAATGCATCTGAAGAAATCATCTGTAACAGAACGACGATTAATCGGGAAAGACGATTCCGATCCAAACCATATCCCCAATCCGATTCACCATCATCATCATCATCAGAACCCGAATAAAACTCGAACCGCCATTGATAAAGGCTCTGGCTTCACTGTGTACAATCATCCGCAAGGTCAGAGTCATCATCACACGGTTGATATCCCAATCTCGACTCCGCACCAAAGGTCAAATTTCTCTGCCGGTGTTGATCATTTCCGACGAAGAAACGCACGGGCACGATTGGGATCGATTTCTTCATTTTTCCCATCAAATCTTTTGTCTTTTCTTTCTTCGTATCGTCCCGTGATTGCTCGGTTCTTGAGGAAGCTTCTACGTTATACACTTCGAGCCCGTTTGATTTGTTTCCATCTTCGTTTCTTGCTTCTTCTTGCTGTCCCTCCTTTATACATCTTCTTCCTTGTAATCAATCTTCGTATTTTTCTTCGTCTAATCTTTGCGATTATCGCTCTTTCCTTCATCCTCTCGATCTCTCTCAAATTCGCTCTTCCTCACTTACCGTCAATTCGTCTTTTTGTCGCACGCTTGCTAACCTTTATCCCTGCCAGATTCTCTTCCTCTCAGCCGAGCACTACTAACCAAGTGATTTGGTCCATTGGGTCGAAGCCAGTTGCGGAGAATAAGACCAATTCAGGCTCTTGGGTTCAGAAGTTTGGCACTAATGATGTGTATGAAGGAGAGTTTCATAGAGGAAAGTGTTCAGGAAGTGGAGTTTATTACTATTCCATGAAAGGCAAATACGAAGGAGAGTGGATTGATGGGAAATATGATGGTTATGGAGTAGAAACATGGGCTAAAGGAAGTAGGTATCGAGGTCAATATAGGTTAGGGCTAAGGCATGGAATTGGAGTCTATACATTTTATACAGGAGATGTGTATGCTGGTGAGTGGTCTAATGGGCAGTGCCATGGCTGTGGTGTATATACCTCTGAGGATGGAAGTAGATACGATGGAGAGTTCAAGTGGGGTGTCAAACATGGCCTTGGTAGTTACCATTTCAGGTCAGCATTATTCTTTTTTACTCTGCATAGTCATTTAAGTTACTGGAATATGGTTGTGCTTTGACCATTGATGGTGGTTTTAGGTCCCTGTATAATTTGCTCGTCTGAGTGTGTTTGCAAATCTTGAGTTCCATTGTTTTTGAAGGGGAGTGTAGTTGTCTTTCCCTTTTATTGGGGCCCTTGTTCACCACCTTTTGGATCGATTGTGAATCTGAGGGATCTCTGAAAGGCTGTCACTTTCGATTTCTGACATTTGATGGATAACACATAATAGGGTTGTGTTTCCTGTTTGTTGTGGTTATCCTCACACTTTAAACAAGTCAAATTTCAGGCTAATATGGTTACTGTCATTAGCATTGGTCTGAAACAACTGCATGAAGCACTGCCTGTCAAGTGTGCATATCATGACTTTAAAACTACATTTAAATTGGGAGTTATGCTGCTGTTGCAGAAATGGCGATGCATATGCTGGGGAGTATTTTGCGGACAAGATGCATGGTTTTGGAGTGTATCACTTTGCCAACGGGCATAAGTATGAAGGAGCTTGGCACGAGGGAAGAAGGCAAGGGCTCGGTATGTACACTTTCAGGAATGGTGAGACACAAGCCGGTCATTGGGAAGACGGTATACTCAGTTGTGCTACCGAGCAGACTATCCGTCCTGGATCATCTTTTACAATCAGCCATTCCAAAGTTGTTGATGCTGTTGAGGTAAGTTAACTAGTAGTTTTATCTTAGTGCTGCAAACATCATATTTGCATTGAAGTAAACTTGTTCTCTCTTTGGCATTCAGAAAGCAAGGAAAGCAGCTGAGAAAGCACATGAAGTTGTGAAAGTGGAAGAGAGGATCAAGAGAGCGGTGATGGCTGCAAATAGAGCAGCGAATGCGGCTAGAGTAGCGGCCGTGAAGGCTGTCCAATCCCAAACCTTTCACAGGAATGATGGTGATCTTGAAACCAAATGTTGAGCATAGGTTAGAAGAGATCTTCATTAACAGGTTTTCTTGTTCCTCCTTTATGAACAAAGCTAGTTTTAAACTGTAGATAATAAACTAGGAGAGATCTTTGTAAATCAACACAAAAAAAATGGGTCTGCTTCATAGAAGGCAATTGACATACGTGTAGCCAAAAATCCATATCTTGATTAAAGAATTAGAAATCTGGTATATCAGTCTTATAACAAAAGATGGAAAAAATCTTGAATCTGGTCTTGAAAGGAGTAGAAGAAGTCTAGCTCTCAGTTTGCTCTCTGAGCCTCCTGATGGTACTCCTGACAGTCGCAGCACTAGCCGTATTCATTGTGTAGGCGCACCTCCAGCCTTAAGTTTCCCACAGTCCCTGCATCCCCAAATTCGAACAGCCTTTCTTCTAACAGCATACTTGCCACAGAACTCGCAGAAGTATTTGCTGTGCTGACTCACTTCCATCTTCTTGATTTGCTTCCTAAGACTGGCACCATATCTGGTCCCTTTTCAGACAAAATATCAACAGATTCAGAAACAAACCAACACAGAAACAATGTATAATGGCTGAAATGAAAAGAGGGGTCTTACGATTCCACACAGCAGAGCAATGAAGTAATTATTTGAATCACAAAGAGAGTTATGGCACTCACCATTATACACTTTCCTTAGTTGGATTCAGTTTTATATTTAAGTACATTTTTTTCTTTGTTATTCAAATTTAGTCTGGATTCGATTTCCATTTATCTATCGGTTTGTATAATATATAAATGATTCTAATTGAATGAAAGACTGAAATTTTTGTATCGTTTTCGAATTAATTAGATGATGTGCTCTTTATTTTATTTTCCTTCGAAGTCAATTTATCAAAATTAATGTAATGAAAAAGACTATGGACCGTTAGATCTGGGGAGGTGACCAATCGTACGGGCCAGGTTATATGAGTTCTAACACTGACAAACGACGTCGTGGCGGGTCCCACTGGTTTTCGGTAACGCAGGTTTTCAAAATCTTCTCATTTTCGTCCCTTCGAGCCAAATCAATGGCAAAAAAATAGCTTTTAGAAATCCCCACGACCAAAAAATCCAAAAGAAAAAAAAAATGTCCGAGAGAAATTATCGAGAAAAAAAAATCTTCGTGTAGGGGAGAGAGCTTGTGCCCAAGATTTTGAATTCTGTCTCTTCGTTATCGATTTTGAACAACCACATTGTTCGTAGATCTGAAAAAACAAGAAAAACTCACGGGTTTGATTATTACGATTTGCTCGGTGATTTTGACATCACGATTCGATTGTTTTGTTGGAGGTTACGAAGAGCTATTGATTCGATTCCAGATCCATACGGATCTAATCTCGGCGAGTCGATTTGTGGTCGACATTTTCAAAAGCTGTTCGCGTGGATCTGAAGAAGAGACATTGTTGTCTTTGTTATATAGCACCGAATTTTTCTGGGAAAGAATGGATCCAATATCGGCGGTTAGCGAAGAGCTGGCTGAGATCGAAGGACAGATCAATGACATTTTCCGTGCTTTATCGTGAGAATAAATCTCTCTAGCTTCTTTTTCTCCATCTTTGACTTGGGATTTGTGTCTATATATAATAATGTTTTGATATTTGGTTTCTACAGAAATGGATTCCAGAAGCTGGAGAAGATCAAAGATGCTAATAGGCAGAGTAGGCAGCTGGAAGAACTCACTGACAAAATGCGTGACTGTAAGAGGTAAGCATTGATTGAATCTGGTGTTTGATGATGATGATGATGATGATGATGATGATGCCTTGTTCTTCTTCTTCTTCTTTGCAGCCTTATTAAAGATTTCGATAGGGAAATCAAGAGCTTGGAAAGCGGTAATGATGCCAACACTAACCGCATGTTGAACGATAGACGACAATCTATGGTTAAGGAACTCAACTCATATGTTGCTCTTAAAAAGAAGTAGGTGACATTTTTGCTAATTGCTCAATTGATGTTCATATTTATGGTTAATGATGATAATGAGGATGGTTGTACAGATACTCATCTAACCTAGCAACCAATAATAAGCGAGTAGATCTTTTCGATGGACCCGGAGAAGAACACATGGAAGAGAATGTCTTATTAGCTTCAAGTAAGCCTTTAAATTACATTGCACTTTTGTCATATGATTACATACACCTACCTAGAGTATTTACTGGAATCTTAATCACTCTCAGATATGTCCAATCAAGAGCTAATGGATAAAGGAAACTCAATGATGGATGACACAGACCAAGCCATTGAGAGGGGGAAGAAGGTCCGTTTTCAGATTATATCATTTCCTATCTTCACAAAAGCAAAATCTCACTGCTTTTTTTGTGGCTTTGATAACAGATTGTTCAGGAGACTATAAATGTGGGAACAGATACTTCAGCAGCTCTCAAGGCTCAGGTTTGTGGTTCCAAACAGTCCTGCTTCTACCTGAATTCCCTTTTTCCAAGATTGTGTGTAAATTCTAAAAATTTACTTTTTCCTTGTTCAGACCGAGCAAATGAGTAGAGTTGTCAATGAGCTCGATTCTATTCATTTCTCACTCAAGAAAGCCTCTAAGCTGGTCAAGGAAATTGGTAGGCAGGTTAGTCTCGGAAATATCTTTATTTCTTCTTTATAGCATTCTTAGTTATCTGCAGCTCCTTCTTGTCCCTTTTACTTACTTTCTTCTGCCATTTTCTCTCAGGTTGCCACTGACAAATGTATTATGGCATTTCTTTTCCTTATCGTTATTGGTGTCATAGCAATCATCATCGTCAAGGTACATCTCAACTCCTTTCTTATTTAAATGTGCACACACACACTTAGGTGTACTTGTTTGAGTGAAATAGATTTCTCTGTTCGTCATTATTTTTTCATGGATATTATGAGGTGAAAGGTTTTTGCCTTTTCTGGAAACCATGTTGATTGAAGAACCTTATAAAAAGCACAAATACACACAAGTTTTTTTTCTCCAGTTATTCAATTATGGAATGTATAAAGTTGTCTCTTCTGTGATTGTTAATTTGATCTCTTTTGCTACTTTGTATAGATTGTGAACCCAAACAACAAAGACATCCGCAACATACCAGGCCTAGCTCCACCAGCCATGAACAGACGTTTGCTCTGGAACCATTACTGAACAAACAATATCTCATTTTCAGGCCATTCAAAATACTGGTACGTCGCACATTTTTTTGTCCCACACACTTCTTGGTCCTCCCCTAAGTCCATGTTGTTGTAGATGAAACCGCCTCACTTGAGAAATTAACCAGTTTCTATTCACATGGCTCTTGGCGGCTGTGCCTTTGAGCAGTCACAGGAATCAAATTCCCCTTTCGTTAAAAGTCTCAGAATCAAAACCATCTTTTTTAGCTCATGTGTTTGTATAAGGATGACTCTTTGTGTTATATCATATGTACGTGTATTTCTAAAACGTCGTCTCTGTTTCATGTTCTGGTAATAAAAACTTGTTCCTCTGTTTCACTGGTTTATGTTAACTGAGTTGTGTATCATATTCGATATTAGTATGACTATTAAAGTATTAACACATTATTGTTTCATGTAACAATGTTGTTTAGAGTTTACAATAAGAAAATAAATCTAGCTCAAGGAGGAAAATTGGGTGATTAAAATTGAAAACAATTACTAAATACAAATATTAAACTAAATAACCCACGTAATAACGAGTCGTCGTAATCTAGTTTATCTAGAAACGCAACGGATCGATAATCAAGGAAAATAATTCGGAGCTGATGAGTTAAAGCTATAGTTAGTTTGACTAACCACGGTTATGGTCAAGACTTAAGCAGAGAGTGGGGCTTATTATTAGTGGCTTAATCAAATAAAAATTAATCCATATTAAAACCTTTATCTATCTATCTCTCTCTCCTTCACAGCAAGCAACAGAGATTCAGAGACAAGAAAATGCGAGAAAGCGAAGGAAAACGCGACAAAACTCAAATGAATTTGCGTTTCGACGAAGGAGGAGGCAGCGTTTGGCAGAGATGCTCAAGACACGAAGGCCGTTTTGTCTGCGTTGGAGGTGTTTGTCCTTACTGCCTCCACGAACGTCTCTCCTCTCTCTGTCCCGATTGTGCTCACGATCTACCATGTTCGTGTACTCCTCGCGCCTCCGTGTCTTCCGGTGGAGGAGATGACGTTCCGTTCGCCGGTATCGGGTCAGTTGGCCGCGTTGCCAACTTGATTGAAAGCGAACCGGCGTTTCGGAGATCGACATCGCTTGCGGTTCCGTATTTCTGGTCTTCTAAACCGGAGACGATATTAGAAACCGAGTCGGATCTCAAACCGGGCCGTGGACGCTGGCTCTGGAGATTGTTGAGAGGAAACAGAGAAGAGACGAAAATAAAGGCTGCTACGGTTATGAAGAAGTCGAAATCCGTTGCCGGAGAAGAGCTATTTTCGCCGGCGCCGGTTGCAAGCAAAGGAAATGGTTGGTACTTTCCAAGTCCGATTAAGGTTTTCAGACAATCAAGAGTCTCCAAAATGATATTTCAACAAAGATCTCCATTGTACAGAGGTTAAATTTTAGGTTTTCTAGTATGTGTGTTTTTTTTTCTTTTGTTTTACGAAAACGTTGATTAATATTTCTTTTCATAATGAAAATGCAGATCTTATACATAAAAATCGGACATTCTTGATAAATTTGTTGAAGTTTGGGTTCATTTCCAGTTACCAATCTGTTAATTAAGAATTCTAGATACAGTTTCGTATAAATTGAGGTCACTTGAAAGACAAATTTGTCGAATGATTTTTTTATTTTTGACTACATATGTCTTTCAAAAGGGTTAGATAGAATTGTTTTTAAATGATACTTCTTTTCACCCCAAGTTTATTTTGCTGGCTACCGTTTAGCATCATGCTCTTTACAGTTGTGGTTCAGGCTGATAATTTTCTGATAGAAAACTAACTATTTATTGTCTTTCATAAACTTTTATACCCCAATTAATGTAACACTAATTGAGAGAAATTTAGAACACACATATTTTGAGAGATATACTCCTAGTGATGTTTTAAACAACAAAGTACAAAATCTCAATTATCGAGAAGTAAAAAAAAGGTTAATGGCTTTTAAAATATACTAATGTTTATAAGAAAATGGGAAGAAGTAACATGGTAACATGTGCATGGAAGCCCTACCAAACAAACACGTGAGTGAACTGAAGCCGTCTCCATATCTTAAAGAAGAAGGTGAAAATAGGGAAACGTGAGGGAGTGTTAAGGAGATAGAGAACAGAGCCGACAAAGAGTGGCGACAAACCTACGCACACGGTTGCACCTTCTCTCTATTGTCATCATCACCATTCACCACCCTTGCACTTCTCCACTTTATAAAAAAATCCCTCAACCTTTTGATTCTTCATAAATCAAAACCCCAATATAATATTTTAATCAACCTTTTTCTTCTTGGCCTCTTGGATATATGGATATTTTACTTTGTTGCCCACTCCCAAACTAACTCATGTGTTTGGTGTTCCTACTTCCTAATTCTGACTTTAATCAATATTCGTTTAAACAGATCGCGCGACAAACAAAACAAATCAATAGAGATATATAATTAAACTGGTTCTTCTTATACATTAACAAATACTATATGTTATATTTTTTGGTAACCAAAAAATATCAATTTGCGTTGATCTATATAATTCGGATAGGAGATTAGACATGCTAATTAGTAGTATTCTTTCTACCGATGGTACTAAAAACTCGTGGCTTGCTTCTGTTTTCATTTTTACTCTAATCATTTACGAAAAAAACTCTCTTAAAAGTTTGAAGCAGAAAACGAATTTGTATCTCTCTTGATGTTGCCATCTTGCTTATAAGGATAGAAGTTTATAAATTCAATTTAATTAATAATAATTACTTGATTACATGAAATAATAATCCATTTGTTATATAATAAAAATCCATTTTGATATGTAACACTAAATGACGTCAAAACCATTAACCATACACGAAAAGGTTAATTACGGAGGAAAAACAATTTACCTCTCGTATTGGGGTAAATGTAAAATTGGGTCGTTGGGTTAACTAACTACCTCTCGTTACCGTTACACATCAAAACGCGCGAGAGAGAGCTAAAAGGTTATAGTAGTCAATTCACATACCAACCTCACCTTACGGCTGGATCTCTCTTAAGCAACCTCATTTATAAACCCCTCCTCGATTTCTTGCGTTAATTTCGAATTTTTATCCTCTTTCTTTCTATCTTCTCCTCTCGATTTCAAAATTTTCACATCTCCGGAATTTTCATTTCTGGAGAATATTGTTTCATCCCTACAATGGCGTCCGAGAATCTGAATGATAAGATCTCTGTTTTTAAGAAGCTCAAAGCCAAATCCGATAATAAGGTAATGTCAATGCAGATTCATAGATCCGATTAAGATCTACAAGTTCGACGATCAGATCTGGGATTTATCTATGGCGGTCTTGAATCATTTTTGCAGATTTGTTTTGATTGCAATGCGAAGAACCCAACATGGGCTTCCGTTACTTACGGGATCTTTCTCTGTATCGATTGTTCTGCTGTTCATCGGAGTCTTGGCGTCCACATTAGCTTCGTCAGGTCATTTGATTTTCATCTTTCTATTATAGAGAGACATTTCCTAATAATCTAGGGTTTAGAGAATCTGCTTTTTTAGCCAAGAATCTATGTTGATCGTCATTTTTATTTAGGTCAACCAATTTAGATTCATGGAGCCCTGAGCAATTGAAAATGATGATATATGGAGGAAACAACAGGGCACAAGTCTTTTTCAAGCAGTATGGATGGAGCGATGGAGGTAAGACCGAGGCTAAGTATACTTCGAGAGCTGCTGATTTGTATAAACAGATTCTTGCTAAAGAAGTTGTTGCTAAAAGCAAGGCCGAGGAAGTATTATTGGATTTGCCTCCATCTCCTCCTGTTTCATCAACACAAGTGCCCAATGGGCTCTCCAGCATCAAAACCAGTGAAGCTCCTAAAGAGAGTAATAATACGCTAAAGCAGCAAGAAAAGTCTGAAGTTGTTCCCGTCTCACCCAGAGTTTCTCGCAGCGTTAAGAAACCTCTTGGTGCTAAGAGGACAGGCAAAACAGGTGGACTTGGCGCCCGGAAACTAACTACTAAGGTCAGGAACGTTCTTTACTCTTTATAGAATTTGTTGAGAGATATCACAAAAGAAGTTTTTGATTACTTGCAGTCGAGCGAGACTCTTTATGATCAAAAGCCAGAGGAATCTCTTGTTATACAAGTGACTTCCCCAGCATCAGCTAAATCAGCCAGGTCATCGTTTTCCTCTCGCTTTGATTACGCGGACAGTGTTCAAAACAGAGAAGATTACATGAGCCCTCAAGTGGTTAGTCATGTAGCTCCACCAAAATCATCAGGCTTCTTTGAGGAAGAGTTGGAGATGAACGGAGGCAGGTTTCAGAAGAAACCAGTCACAAGTTCCTCAAAAGTGCAAGTGAGTTTCACTCTTTTGTACTAAAGATTTGAGTAGATTCATTTTGTACTCACCGTCTTTAGCATCTACCAGATTCAAGAAACAGATGAAGCACGGAAGAAATTCACAAACGCGAAATCAATCTCCTCTGCTCAGTATTTCGGAAGTGACAACAACTCGGCCGACCTTGAGGCCAAAAGTACATTGAAGAAGTTCTCCGTACGTTTCCTCTTAGTTGACCCTACTTGCCTTAACAAATTGATACTTGTGTTTTCTGTTGCCTTAACTTACATTTTTAAAAACAGGGTTCATCAGCAATCTCTAGTGCTGATTTGTTTGGAGACAGTGATGGAGATTTCACTCTTGATCTCACCGCGGGTGATCTTCTCAACCGCCTATCTCTCCAGGTCTCATTTCAATACTTGTCATGCATGCTCTCTTTTTCTATGCAAATAACAACAGATTTTGTCATCATTAAGACGTCTTATAAATGTGTTAGGCTCAACAAGACATGTCATCATTGAAGAACATGGCAGAGGAGACAAAGAAGAAGCTTGGCTCTGTTGCTTCCAGCTTATGGGTTTGAAATGTTCATAATTCTCTAAAGTCCATTCAACTTTTTTATTTTATTTTTTCTTATACTCTAAATTCCATTTACAAAATCAGTTATCCTATTCTTTTACCAGGGAAACTCTGTTTCGAGTTATCAATATTTTGTATAATTGAGATTATTTTGTGTTACTTTGTAAAAATTGTCAAATAAAAAAATATGTTGTGTGCATTTGGATGTTTATTGTCTTAGATGCATCCGACTTTACTCATATAAGACTTACATCGTATAAACCATCCCAAACTATCTTCCGCATTTCGAGATTCACAGTGACCATATATCCCTTGACAATTTTCATCTTCACCAAATTAAATGTTTGTGAATTTTGTTTGGTATGGAAATTTGACGTTTTTGTAAGGAACTTAAGAAAGTCAAAAAGATTTTTTGTAAGGAACTTAAGACAATGACCATAGTTGATACTTGATACCTTCCATAAAGAGAAACAAGCTAAAATATGTGTTGTGGAGTGGAGCCATGTTTGAAGAGGGATTCTCTAAAGGAGCCTAAGAGCATCTCCAATGGTGAGAGCCCTCTCATGGGCTCTCTCCCATTCTTTAATATTAATTGTGAAAATTTGTAAGAAGAGAGCTTGTATTTTTTTTGAAAAAAAATTCATAGTCCAATGGTAGTATCTCTCAAGTGGGGTTCTCTTCAAATGTTTCAAATTTTTGTCCACAATCTCTAAATCTCAAAAAAGAAATCAATACCTTGCTAAAGAAAACAATGTTAACTAGTTTCTTTCTCTTAAGAAGTATAGAAGTCGAAAAGAACATATATCCAAGAACACAAAGAACATGTCTTAAGTAGAACACAAGTTTTAAGAAGAACACAAAGAACAAGTCGAAAAATCAACACACCTTACTCTTAAGAAGTACAGAAGCACAAATCCAAGAGACTCTTGGTCAGCTCTTCGACTTTGCTCTGTGAAAGAGAAACCAAAATATATGAGCAAAGACGGTTTACTTCACATAAGGAGATTAAAATTGGCAGTATGCCTTACCAATACCAGTTTAGGAACATATAAGATTCTTAATGCAGTACCACTAAAGATCACAATCAATCAGGAACATATAAAACTTTCCAATAAGATCATTTTCTGAAGTTCAAAAACAATGAATTCTTAGCTAGGGAATCGTGTGTAGGAAAGTACATAATTTCAAATCCTCACCAACTCCAGTATTCAAGAAGAAAAAATCTTCAGGCATGTTCCAATCAATCTCATTAACCTGTTACAAGAAGACGAAAGACATGAGAACATTCCATACAGCACCAGAAAATTACTAGGCGATTATTACATGAACAAGGGACTTAGGTGAAATATAACTGCATGCACTTTTAATAGGAGACAGGGAAGGGGAAAAACCTTATCAAAAAGATTAACAAGGGTATGAGCTTACGTTACCTCATAACAAGAGATGGGGCTCGAGACAATACCCTATTACCAACAGCTACATGTGTCCCATCAGGTTTGTAAGTGATGTTTATATTCTCTCCACTAAGTTCTGCCTGCTGTGTGCATTTTCCACCTGTATAACTCGAAGAAGACATATCTTAGCAATTGATAGTAATATTTGTGAATGACACAAAGCTAATCCATTAGAAAATTTACAGATTTCTAAACCAAGCTCCATGCATATTTCAGAAGCAAAACTAAACGATTAAGAGAATACTTCTCCATATGTATTCATCATCATCAAAAATACACAGAAGTTCCCATAGCTCAAAAGGTAAAGAAATTACATGACCGTGTGGTTCGATATTCCAAATGCGAGTCGTTTGATCAACAGAACCCGAAGCAAGATTTGTTCCATTAGAATTCCAAGCTACAGAATGTACCTTCAATCCCAAAAATTCCCCCAAATTCAGCAAAAAAACTAGGATTTCGCAAGTTTTATTGACTACAGAAAATTAGACTGGAGATAGAAAAAATAAAACCCTAATTTTGGAGATTCAACCACAAAATACAAAATTAAATCACGATTTACACTCAATAATTGCTTGATTAATACCTAATTTGGAGCTTCCATCACAGATTTCACTCCAAATCACTTTCGGTTCCGATTGAGTTTGGTCTTCCTCCGCCAATGGACAACAGCTTCTGTCGACTTGATGATTTCGGCGTCTCAGATTCCTCGATTACACACATAAACGGCTTGATTCATCGAAAATCATAGATCAATGATTTTCTGTTTGGTCGCGAGAGAGACAGAGAGAAAAGAGAGTAGTCGTGTTTAGTTTTATTTTTGCGGAGGAAACGAGAGTTGTTTATTTTTTTGTTTTGTTAAATATGACGACCCAATCAAATAAGGACACGTGGTCGCCTCTCTCATCCTCAGAAAGCTCTCTGAAGAGAGCTGGCTCTCTCAATTTTATTCACTTTTGATTTATTTTTTTGCAATTAATTCAAGAGAACCTCTGAATTTGTTCATTACATCCTCCCATTGGAGATGCTCTAAGTCCAAAAACTTGAGCATCATGATATATTTTTATGTATTCTTTTTTTTTAAAAGAGTATCAAAATTTTAAAATCTACTAATATATCTTCTTTTGTTTTGGTAATCTAGGATTGTAATCTTACATTAGCCCCCAAAATGATGAGTTGTCCTAAAATAGAATAACCTTACAAAAACATCTATTATAAGAATTCTTTTTTAATCCACCGAACGATCAAACACTAAAAATAAGCAAACTGCCACCCAAACTATTTGTCTTTATCTCTCTTTCTTCATTTACAAAAAAAGAGGAAGCTCTTAGTTTTTTATCCCCTAATTCCTCAACAACAAAACAATCAAAACCCATTAATATAGGTTTTCATTAGGTACTCAAAGTTTGATTTCTTGTCATTCAAACAACCAGAGAACCCTAAAAGGAACATCACCAAAAGATTGTCATTTGAGATTTGAGCTCTCTTCGTGATACCACAACCGCATTTTGAGGTGTCCCCTTTTCTAATCAATTTAAGCAAATCAAAACTCAGAAGATAACAACCTTTAAAAAATCTCTCATTTTCGATTCGGTTTCCGTAAGAAACAGAAACAATGAGCCTGAACTGCCTCGCTTGCCACATCTTGCAAAGAACAGACTCGGACAGAGAAATAGGAAGCCTTAAAGATTCAAACTTCAAAGAAAATTTCGCAACTTCAAGGTATGACAAGATGGTAAGGAACAGATCATCGTTGCCAGTAGTAAGACGGGTTAATAAGGGTCATCGCAGGCTTTACAGTGCGGAGATCATGGTCTATGGGGAACTGGACGAGCCCAAGCTGGTCAGAAGCAGTGGGATCAGAAGGGATTGGAGCTTTGAGGATCTAAAGAAAAATAAAGATCAGCTAAGAATTGAAGAGACAATAAAGGAATAAAACAGATCCTTTTGCTAGGTTTCTTCTAATGTTCTTGTTAACCTGTTCTGTTGTTTTCGATAAGTTTACGGATTTTCTGTGATCCGACATGATAAAATCTGTGAAAGTTCATATATATGAATTCATTTTCCTAATGAAGATTCTATAAGAGCTGAAGTTTCAATCCCAATTCCATGAGATGAAGGAACACATGATTCACCTTCTTTTTTTTTTGGTTTTAATGTGAAGATGATTCACCTTCTTCAGATAGAGTTTGCCCTTAGATGTATAAATTCTTGAAAAAGGTTCAATTTTTCATCTTTCTAGCTTCTGCTTTCCAATCTCTCCGACAGTGACTTATGTTCATAAGAATCATAACCATAAAGCTCTGCTTCCCGCTCTCAGCCCTTTCCTCTCCCATATACGAGCGTTGCCTTTCTTGTTGTTTCATGCACAAAACATGAGACCAATGCTGCCTCATGAACCGTCTCTGTTTTCATCCATGCACAAAAGTATATAGACGTTTTAGCACTAACACTCAACACCGGAAGTAACAAACACATGTTTCTATTAGAAACATTTAGCTTCTTCATCAGTTTCAATACCATAAAGGGTAATGCATTCAAGTAAGAACCAATAGAATACTTAACATATAAGATTGAAAAACCTAAAACCAATAGATACATAAACACAAGTGATAAGAACAGAGCACATAAAGCTCTAATCCTCTTTACACAACAAGGATCACGTAGGATGATTTATTTACGATCTTTGTATATAGCTAGGCTATGCAATCCATTCTAATTCTGTTACAAGGACTCCTATGCACGTATCAACAATAAACAGAGTTAATAATTCTAAAGATGGATAAACCAGCAACTGGGGTGGTGGCGCAGTTGGCTAGCGCGTAGGTCTCATAGCTATTGAGTGATCCTGAGGTCGAGAGTTCGAGCCTCTCTCACCCCATTCATTTTTAATTATAACATGTCTTTTAATAGTTTTGTGTTTTTAGTTCAGATAAAAAAAAAATTGATTGTACTGTGCTACGATAATTTTGATGGTACCAGTCGGTCATCATCACCAAAAGAAATATATAAAATCATTTTTTTTTTTCTCTAATTTTGTTGTTGTTGAAATATTAGTATAGTTTTATTGTTAATATTGATCATACCAAATCCAAAATAAATTCAATAAATTGAAAATAAAAATAAAAGGATATTTTTAAAATGGATAAGATTAACGCAGATTTTATTGGATAAAATCATCGCAAATCTCTGTTGTTGGTACAATTGTCCTTAAATTTTGCGTGCGATCTTATCTTAAAAAAAATCGAATACTTAACCCTTAATCCAACGGTGATTAGGGTAAAAGACTAAAAGGCATTGCTCTACTATAAATAGGAAAGCATGATACGCGATAGAGATAAAAAAAATAGTGAGAACGAGAGATTTAAAAATTACATCGATTATTTTTTGTCAACTAACAAAGTTTATAGATTGATTGATAGTATTTGGATTTTTGTTATCTAATCAACAAAGAGATTATTTTCTCTAAATTTCTTGTTTTTTGTAGGTTCTAGCGAGTCAAATACTTTTTTCCCAAATTATAAACACCGTTTATCAAATTTTGTGTGACTAAGGGTGGACACATAGCGGATATCATGGATTTTGGTGGTATTCGTGATCCGTTTCGTCCGGACCCCACTTTAATATATGTATCTGTTCTGCAACTAATCGGATATTCAATGTTCGAATATCCAGATTTTCATCGAGATATCTGATCCATTATGTAAGATTTTTTTATTTTATTTTAAAACATATAAAAAAGTTACCTAAAAATAGCTATATTACATTAAAAATCTATAAAAATTTTGTTTAGCTTTTATTTTAAAATTAATTTGATGAATAGAAATTAATAAGAGTTATATATGTAATTATATATATATATATATGCCGGAGTTAAATGGATATCCGTCTCTTAAAATTTTATTATTTATGATTTTTTATTTTTTAAAAGATACTAATTTTTACTATTTGTTTTGTTTCGTAAAGTTATTGATATTGGAATATTTCAAATCAAATTGAAAATGATAAACAAGTGAATCTAACATATAGTTTTTCGAAGCATATGTGTGAAAAATATCTTGTATCTTTTCTAAGTATTTTTTTATAATAAGTAATTTTAGTGTAATTCTAAAAAAATATTATTAGTTTGAAGAAGACAAAAAAGATATGGTTTCCTCATTATAGTACTTTTTATCAGAAGATTATTTCTTTTTAAAAAGATGTATATATAGATATCTTGCTAAAAGAGGAGTTTTCTAGAAATGCTCTATTAGCATGTAAAAACAAGATTTCTATTTTTCTTATGTATTGTGCTTGTCCTTCCTATTATATATACTAATCTTTCCATTTTCCATTGAAATTTTCTTATTACAAACTTAAAATAACAGCTGGGCAAATTTATGTAAGAGACGAGTGTGATGATAGGAACACGTCAGCTCCACATCACTCCAGTCTGGCAAATACACGAATTAAATATAAATAAGAAAAAGACACGAACAAAAAAATTGTGGAATCTAGTTTCGTCTCATTTCTTCTTCGTTGACACAATTAGGGTTCACTTCAATTCTCTTCTCTGGATCGTATTACTTGGGGAAATTTAAAGATCTGGCTCTTTTGGGTTAGCTCGGATCCAAATTCTCATGTGAAAGACCTGAACTTTTGCTCCATCTTAATCGTTTTTTTCTTCTTCTTGGGCTGGTCTGGTGGATATACAGAGAATTGATAGTGTTTGAATTGTAATTCTCGGAGTATTTTGCTTTAGTGTTTGATCGAGTTTCTGAGCTTAGTATCGTGGGGTTTTGGGTTTAGGGGAGGATAAAGTAGCTTAAGAGCTGAGGATCTAGTTTCTTAGGCTTGGCACTTTCAGCTGAATTTTGATTCGTTTCTGGACTCATTAGTTTGGTAATGATTAGTTTTGGATATTTGTTGGATTAGGTAACTACTAGACAGAGGGATTAGCTACCAGAGATTTGGGTTTTGGCTGATTTAGCGTTGGTTGGTTTTTGGATTGGTAGTGAGGGTTTACCAATAGCATAGTATTGGATTTTAGTGTGGATTTTTGTGGAGATGGATAGGCCTAGACAAAATGATCATTTGGGTGTGAATAAGATTGGGAGAAATATCAGAAAGAGTCCTCTGCATCAACCGACTTTCGCTGCCAATGCTAGCAACGTTGCCGCGGCAAGGCCTCAAACACAGCCTCAGGTTTATAACATAAGCAAGAACGACTTTAGAAGTATTGTTCAGCAGCTAACGGGTTCTCCATCACGTGAATGCCTTCCTCGGCCTCCTCAAAACAACCCGCCAAAGCCTCAGAATACACGGTTGCAGCGGATCAGACCATCCCCCTTAACGCAGATAAACCGGCCTGCGGTTCCTCTCCCTACCATGGCTCCTCCACAATCTCATCCTCAGTTTGTTAGACAGCATCCACCCCAGCCGCCTTTCCCACAAAGCACACAACAACCAATGATGGGTCACAGGGACCAGTTTTGGTCCAATACAGCTGAGTCTCCCGTCTCAGAGTATATGCGTTATCTTCAAAGTTCACTTGGAGATTCAGGACCCAATGGTAACCAAATTCAGCCAGGTCAGGAGCAGCGGCCCTATATCCCAGGTCATGAGCAGCGGCCATATATCCCAGGTCATGAACAGCAGCCATATATCCCAGGTCTTGAGCAGCGGCCATATATGCCAGGTCATGAGCAGCGGCCATATATGCCAGGTCATGAGCAGCGGCCATATATGCCAGGTCATGAGCAGCGGCCATATATGCCAGGTCATGAGCAGCGGTCATATATGCCAGCTCAGTCTCAGTCTCAGCCTCAACCTCAACCTCAGCAACATATGATGCCTGGATCGCAACCTCGAATGAATATGCAAGGCCCTCTTCAACCTAACCAGTATCTACCACCACCCGGGTTAGTTCCTAGCCCAGTGCCTCGTAATCTTCCTTCCCCTCGGTTCAATGCTCCTGTACCTGTCACGCCTACTCAGCCCTCTCCCATGTTCAATCAGATGTATGGTGGATTTGCTTCTCCTCGATATAACGGTTTTGGACCACTGCAATCACCTACATCCCAATTTCTTCTACCATCTCCTACCGGTTACCCGAATATGTTCTCTCCGAGATCACCTTACCCATTGCTATCACCAGGAGTTCAGTATCCTCAACCACTTACCCCAAACTTCTCATTCTCACAAATTGCTCAACAAGGAAGTCTTGGACCCGGTGCAGGTGCAGGTGCAGGTCCAGGTCAAGGTCCTCCTCAGCCTCCTCCTTCGCCAGGGCTCATGTTCCCTTTATCTCCATCTGGGTTCTTCCCCATCCCAAGTCCAAGATGGAGTGATTTCTAGGTGCTCTCTTTTCTATCTATCCGATTTATTGAATTGAGTAAATCGCAGTATGGTTATTCAAGTCTCCTTAGGTTAGTCTGTTCTTTGAAAGAAGCTTAGAACTTCAGAGCCTACAGTGGAATAGACGCAGCAGAATAGATGCGTAAAACACTAAAGGAGCTTTTAGAAGCAAGGAAGATTTATAGGTGTTTTTTTTTTCTCTGTGTGATTTTTATAGGGACGATGATGATTACCTTTGTTTTTGTTTATCACAAAATTAGTTTTATCTTTGCGTAATTTGTACACAGACTACAGATGAACTCTTCAATTTATATGATTTTTGGGTGTTTTCAAAGCAAGTGTCTCTCTACTTTTTTACTAAGAACAAAAATCAATAACATATTACTAATTCGTTTCTTCGATAGAAAAATTGACAAGTGAAATTTTTTTGGATAATAATTAACAATAGATGCAGAAACAATTGGTACATTGATATAACCCAAAAAGATCAACTCACTGAACTACAAAAGGTGGTACAAAAAACAGACCGAAATTTTCTCGAAGGATTATGAGTATGACACATGGCATCAAAGAAATGATCAATGAATACATAAACTTATGAAAATGCAGAACCGTGTGTGTTGATCCAATTTACCTAGGAGATTAGAGCTAGAATTTTTGTAAATAATATATGGATGTCAAGATCAACATACAAATTGCCAATAAATTGTTCTAAGAAATAAGTTAAAGAAAAGAATGACATCCATATAAATTTTATGGTGAAAAAAAACAAGGCGCAACTAATTTTGGTCAAATCTAACGGAAACACAACCGTGAACGAGATTGGCATTAGATGACAGAAAAATCTCCGGTTCCTTTCCGCAAAAATTGTATCCACGTCCATGGCCGTGCAAGACTATGTGCATGTTGGTCATTTAGTCACAAAGTAGGACTTTTCTTTTTCTCTTCAGTTTATTTTTTTAATTTTTTGGCAAAATAGGATCTTTCTTTAATTGAAGAACATAATAATTATTGACAGGACCGGCCCAATAGATCATGTTGTCTAAAACAAAAATAAGTCCCCTTAACCCCAATGTTTTTTTAATCACAAATTATCAGTCTTGAGCTTTGAACCTGTTACATATACACGTTTTACAAAATGAACCATTGATGTAAGCTCTGTTTACAAAAATAGACCCTTTCACTACTGCATACAATAGAAACCATCTTATTATATAAAGTATGGTTTTCAAAATTAATAACTCATATGATCGTGACACATGGCAAATTTATCGATCTTAGATTTTGACACGTGTAAAACAAAAATTTCCTTTTTAAAATAAAAAAGAAGATAATTGAAAATAACTACAAATTTAAATAATTTTAAAAATGTAAAAGATAATTATAAGAAAAATTGTAAATAATTCATATTTCTATAAAAAAAATTTAAAAAATGTCAAAAGATAATAATAAGGAAATTATACGTTTTTTATATTTCAATTAAACAAGAAAAAAATCAGGCAAATTTATTAAAAAGGAAACATATTAAAATTTTGATATTATTTATCTCAATTTCTTCTCCAATTAGAGATATGTGATAATTTAATTAAAGTAATCCTCATATTATTTATTTGAGTTTATTTTTTCAATTAGAAATATGTGAGATCAATTTTTTTTTCCTTTTTGTAATATTTTTTTACTTAACTGTTTTTGTTTGTCTTCAATTATGATTGTAGTATAGTTAGATTGTTTTTTTTGTTTGTTTGTTCTCAATTATGATTATAGTATAGTTAGATTGTTTATTTCAATTTCTCTTTTCATATTTAAATTAGAGAAATTGTTAAAAATGTCCCTTTTTCAATACCCCTTTTCAAAAATGTCCCATTTGAGAGTCTATTTTTAAGTTTGCCCTCTTTAAATTTTTAATGACCATTTTACCCTTATTTGAAAAAAATCGTCTATGTAATAGACAATAAATAAATCATTAAAAACAAATATTAACATTCTCATTAAGTAATCGAAAATTCAATCATATAATCTATTTTCCCAAATATTTTGTGTTTATAATGATTCCGCAATTTTTTGGCGGGAAAAATTTTTACGGGAAAATTTTACAAGGTATTTTAAAGGTTTTACAAGTTTTTACATGTGTTTTGGCGGGAAAATTGCGGGATCACTTTTCCCGCCAAAAAATATTTTGTATTTTGTGGACCTAATTTTGTTTCAGATAAGGGTAAAATGGTCATTAAAAATTAAAAGAGGGCAAACTTAAAAATGGACTCTCAAAGGGGGCATTTTTGAAAAAGGGTATTGAAAAAGGGCATTTTTAACAATTTCTCAAAAAAAATTGTAATTAACTTAAGATATCCTATAATTGCCATTAATTAATCTGTTGAGGATATTTTATATTATTATTGTTACTATTTATTTATTTATTTACTGTATATTAAACTACAGTAAATATACCATCTTTCTGTTTTTTTCATATTTAAATTATCAAAGATTCATATATCATCGTGTTTATAATTTTTTATTTTTAGTTTAATTGTTGTATCTTTGAATTATTTATTTTGGTTTTTACGTTCAGTTTAAATTATATAAGATTTATAATATATCATAGTTCTAATGATTTTAGATAGCGACATGTGTCATGATTTAAATTACAAATTTATATTATTTATATCAATATTATTTTCTAATTAGAAATATGTGATGATTTTAAGTAAAGTGTTATATTGTTTTATTTGAAATTCTTGAATATGTAAGAAAAATATATGCTTCTTTTTTGTTTTTTGATATTTGGAATTTAATTATACTATTTCAAAATAGTTTATTTCAATTTTATGTTCATATTTGAATTATATAAGATTCATATATCATCGTTCTTATAAATTTTTGAATTTATTAATTTTTATTGATTGATCATAAAGTTGTTGCAATCGAGTATATAGGAATCGAACCTGTAACGTTAGCTTGGAAGGCAAAAAAAATTAGTCGATTTATCATATTTATATTTTTAACGTGTCTAATTAAACACCACTGAACAGACAACAACTGAGGATACACATCCTAAGATATGATGAATATTTTTAATTTTTGTTCTTCATATAAGTATATCATGAATTATTGTTATGTGAATATGTGATATATCTTTCATTCGAAATAATTTTGAATTCATAATTTTCGTGGTTAAAGAAACAAGGCAATAGTGAAAAAGTAAATATTGTTTTTACTTTTGAAAGAAAATTTCTACTTACAACGTTGTTAATTAATTTTTTGTTAGATTTAATTTTAATTTTTTAATAAACATGGACGGGTCCTTATCTAGTAACGTATATATTAGACTTTAATAGAGGATATGCATTTAAATGTGCTGATAGTTATACTAACATAAGGCCCAATGATTTTTTAAACAATGCCCGCTGATCACGTCTTTCAATTAGATTGAGGTGGAGACTAAACCGGACCGACGGTATAATCCATGGGGTAGGTAGGGAAACGAGTGAACCGAATCAGGGGTAGGTGAAGAAGTGACCTATCCGACATGAACCAAACACGGTCGGGTCGGATCCTTACACTAACCATCTCTACTGACCCGACTGAAACAATTCCGAAAGAACTGCGCCTTTTAATAGTAAAAGAAAAAGGTTTCAAACCCTAGACCACGACTTCAAACCCTAGACAACGACTTCCACTATCGGTGATCCAACGGAAGAGAATGAAGAGAAGAAGACGACCAGAGAAGGAGATTCTTCCTGTGGATGTGGTGACGGAGGAGATCCTTACGAAACTGCCTGTTAAATCCCTTATGAGATTCAAGTGCGTCTCAAAACTTTGGTCATCGGTCATCAGCTCACGATACTTCAGCAACCGTTTACGCACGGTCCCATCCCGACCGCGCCCTCGACTTTACATGTGTTTGCGGGATCTCACTGACTACCAAAACTCTGTAATGCTATCATTGGCGCCAGACACTACGTCTTCTTGCTTTGTAGTTGACCACGATCTGACCATCCCACGGCTGGGAGGCTACTTCTTGCAATATCTTCCTGGCTTCATATGTTACAACTTTCTGGGAAAGCCACGGATTTATAACCCTACCACCAGACTACTTGTCACCTTACCAGCCGCCATGAAATCCAACAACATGATGCCGATTCCCACTCCTCCTCCAGGAGAAAGTATCAAAATCGTAGCTTACTATTTCGGACACGACCACGTTATCGACCAGTACAAAGTGCTCTGCTCAACTGGTGTCAGATTGAAAAATTTTCAAGAGATAAGGTCAGAGCATCGGGTCTTTGTCCGAAAAGCTGGAGGAAGAGGTTCCTGGAAAAAGGCGGCTCCAACGTCTCCAGCGGACTTTCTTCCTCACATTCCACTCAAAGGAGGAGTGTGTATCGATGGGGTTATATATTACATGGGTTGGACTGATTCGTATAATTCTGTGCTTGTCAGTTTCCACATTAGATCCGGAGACTTCAAAATGATCCAAGTACCTCGCAGGGACGGAGATGAGCTGCCTGGACGGGTCAAGAATGTGAGTCTTATAGAGTATGGTGGCAAAGCAACTATCATTGACCAGACTAATCTTAGAGAAAAGGGTAGGCTGGATTTATGGGCCGTGGAAGATGCCGGGAACAATAAATGGTCGAGGAGGACTCTGGTTTTGCAGCCTTCTCAGCTGCATTTAGTCAATAACAACATTATATTCAATGTCAAAGGTACAACTCAAAATGGAAAGGTTTTCTTGATACCACAGGATTTGCTTTCTCCCTTTCACATTCTCTGGTATGATCTTCAAAGCAATGACATGAGAAAGATCGAAATCAATGGTGTACCGGATCACTGGTTTAGCAAGGACAAGTTGAAAGTTAAAATGATGTTGATGGATCAGAGTGAGAGTCTCATGTACTTCTAGGCTTGAATAAATCATTCCTTTTTACATCTAATGCATGTTTTTTGAGTGTTTGGACTAAACAGCTTAATGTTTTTCGGGTTTTTCTTGCATCCTCAGAATCTATATATAGATATAGATCGCATATTCAGTGTTTACCAATCCCTAATTAATAAATTAGTAAAGAAAAATGTGGGGTGTCACATTGTGTGTTGTTACAGCTTTAGTGGTCGTCAAGACCAGTCTCTGGCTCTATACATGGGAAAACCCTAACGGCAAGTTATCTCCCGGTTCAATGGGGTTTCCGGTGATCCGTAGAAACCGTTAAGTTCTCCAAACCTTACAGATTCGATGACATCCCTCCATTTGTCAAGAAAAGAATGTCATTGTTGGTCGGTCGTCTCATTTCTCTTATTTCTTCTCTGAGCGCCTCGGGTTCTTTGTTCCGGACGAGTATCCTCGGCTCTAAGACGATTGTTTGGACAGACCCGGAAGTGAACTTTGAGATTTTTAGACAAGAGAACATGTGTTTCATCATGAGATATATATCCAGAAGCTGTTGTCAGAAACGTTGGGAAAGATAACTTGTTCTTCAAGCAAGGCACAAGGACTTCCACAGGTACATGCGACGGATTGCTCTGCGACTGCTCGGTCACCAGTGTTTCATATATATACACAAATTAATTAAAACGACCTAGAAACACAGGAGCATCTCACATCTGACACCCGATCCCATGGCATCTTTAGATGTCAAAGATACTATTGGAAGGGTGTATATATATATAATATAGGCCCTTAACGTACGTACGGTATCCATTTTAAGCAATCAATGTTTATCTATTCTGATGGGGTTTATTTTTATTATTATTATCATGTGTTCTATTGCAGCTAATATTGGAGTAAATAATCAAGATGATCATAAGTGACATCAAACCTAGCTAATAGAACTTGTAGAAAACGTTTAAGATATCTCAGTTTTGATTTTGTTCTTTTCGGAAGGCTCATTACATTTAGTCTAATGGTAAGATCTCTACCTAGTTAGCTTTTCACCCTAAGTACTTGGCTAGTTATTAACACTTTGCATGAATCTAATGTTAAGTTAACTGATTACTTCTTATAAAAGAACTACATATACTTCTACTACTACTACTATGACGCCTAACCCTCTCAACCGCATATACTTAAAGAGCACAATGTCAGTTTTAATTAAGATTGATATATTTTCTATACATATCAGTTTTTTGTTTCTTGTTAAGCATGTAAATATCATTATTGAATGTAGAGGTAAATATCTAGGTTTTGCTTTTGCACAAATGTACATATATCAGTTTTGAGCTCCTCTTCTCACTACACGCTAATATTATACAAGTAATTAATGGTCCTAGTGGATGAGATAAATCACCTAGGTAATTCAATCACCAAAAAGCAAGCATTTATAGATCACATAGTCCAGAATAATAAACATTTGAACGAAACTTAATTTCGTGATTACTTAGAAAATTAAATGTGTGTGTATGGTTCCATAAGCATTAATTCTAGAAAATAAAACATTTGACACATATTGTTTCGAGTTTGATTAATTAACATTAGATTAATTAAGAAGTTCATTTTACAAGTATCACACTAACTATAACAACAATACTATAACCCTAAATGATTAGTGGAAAACAAAATTTTAGGAAATTAAAAAACCAATGAAACAACTTATTTTCTTTCAAAAAAAAGAACAATCAACATTAGATTAAAAAATTATAGCCAAGGAGAAGAAAACAAAACACGTACCGGTAAAAGTCAACAAAAATAGTTCTTTTTTTTTCTGTCAACTGCCTTTCTTTTTCATTTAATAAATGTATAAATCATTATAGAAAAAAACGAGGCCGTTATCTGGGAAAGAGGGAAGGCCCAAATATAGAGAACCCAATATACCAGCGCGTGCTTTTCACTCTCAAGGAACGCGTGAAGAGAGGAGAGAGACCAAAGGCCGTTAGAACACAATCCTGCAAAGAATAAAACCTCGATCCGTTACATCCTCTACTGCTGATCGTCGATATGGATGCAAGAATTGAACGGCTACGATTAAATCTGAAGATTGTAGAAATTAATTAAAAGTTCAAAATCCTCTGGTTTTATCAAAAGAAATCGTACAAGAGGGTGGAGAAAGTTGATGTGTGTGTGTGTGATGCAAGAAACAAAAGTTACGTGTAATAAATAGAATAAATGTTGAATGCTAGTGAATCTGACATCCATTTGCTTATCGTTGTTTATAAATCACGACTAACTAATTATATTATTTAAAATTTACTCCAATTGTGACATTATTTCAATTATAGTTTGGATAGTTGTTTTTTCTTCTTCTTCTGTGAATTCCATCAGAGTTTTAATTACTATATTTTAGAAAAGTATTATTAATTTATTTGAAAAATAAATAATATTTGATCTACTGTATATTGCTTATCATTTTGTTGAGATGAAATGAAAAAAGTGAGAAGAAACCCAAAAGATAAAAGAATTATCTTAATAAAAGTAAAATAAAAATAAAAATGGAACAATGATGATTTCTAGAATTACCATTTATGAAAAAAGTAATATAGGATGGACAAAGTGATCTAATTTGTAAATTATTTTGTTATATACTGTAATTAAGAGCTAGCTAAATAAGTTTGTTTTCTCGAGAAAACAAATATGTTGAATTTTGGAATGTGCATGTTTGATGAACAGAGCCGGCTCTAAAGAATATTGGGCCACAAGCCGAAAAAAAATTATGGCCTATAAACTACCTTAAAAACAAAAATTAAAATTAATTGAAATGATTGGGACTTGGGAAAATCGAATCTCCCACCTCTAGTTACCAAACCTTTATACTTAACCAACATAGCTACATAAGATTTTAGTCAAAAATGGGGCCGAAAATTTATATATTTATGGAGGGCCGCAAGCATGTGCCTCACATGCTTCCCTCAAGCGCCGGCTCTGTTGATGAAATTAAAAGGAACGAAATGCTATCTTTAATGATTATGTGTTTATTATAAAATTTAGAAATACTATAAAATAGTTCATATTATCATAGAATGAAAATACATTTTACATTTTTCCTCCCTCCACGTATATATAATAACATAGAGAGTCAGAGAATTTTATTATTCCACA